TCTCTTTACCTGATCCATACTCTCGGATCTAAAACTAACCTCTTGGTCTAATCCGTACTTACGGATCTAAAACTAGCCTCTTGATCTGATCCCTACTCACGGATCTAAACTAACCTCTTGATCTGATCCATACTCATGGATCTCATCTACTCATGTCCTACCCAACATATTGGTAGTTACAAAATATATATACAGTTTAACTCATTAAAACTTATATAGTTCATCCATTCCACCAACATCTCAAACAAACCACAATATATAAACACATAACACGTATTTCATAGCAAATACTTCATACTTATGTGTTAGAAGAAAGTAACTATACACTCACTTGATTAGAAGATGATTGGACAGCACCTCGTCTCTTGAAATAATCTTTTGTGATGAAACGGGATGTTTTCCTCCAAAACCGGGCTTCACGTGGGCAGAGCTTCGGCTCGGGAATCTTTCTTCTCGTGATCTTCAGGGCTTCGAGACTTGCTTTGGGTCTTGGGAATGATATCAGGGCTTTGGGATATTTCTTGCACGAAAAACAAGGTAAAACGGGGGGGAGAGAGAGAAGAGATTTTGGCAAAAGAAGTCGGCTGCTCTCGCATGCCTTTTATAGAGGCTGAGTCCTCGCATTGGGCATAGTCCGGATCAGATCTCCAGGTGGCGACGTTTCGGTGGTGCTACACGTCTCTTCTTCGGACCGCACAAACCCGAAGTACGCTGGGCGTACATAAAGGTTGCGCGGGGCGTACCCTTCGGATAGGATCGATGACTCTTCCTCCTTCGGATAATATCCGAATTTTTATTAAAATTTAATATCTTAATTATTTAATAAACTTCAAAAATTCATATCTTCTTCATACGAACGCCGATTTTGACGTTCTTTATATCCACACGTAGGTGAGACTACGCTCTACAACTTTCGTTTATACTTCGTCGACTAATTGTGAGTTTATTTTTATTATTTATTTTTCGTAGGTCGGGACAGGAAAACTCCGTTATAAATTCATAACTTCTTCATTTGACGTACGTTTTCATCTATCTTTTTACCGTTGGATTACTATCAAAGAGATCTTCGATTCTCGTTTAGATTGTTTCTGGTAGAAATCTCTCGACCTCAAATCGAGTATTCGGGTTGCATATCGCTAAGCTGAAACTTCGGAAAATCATAACTTCTTAATGCGAAGTCAGATTTGGGCGTTCTTTTTATGCACGCTCTCGGTTTAATGAACACTACGACTTTCTTTTAGATTACTAAGGCTAAAATTTCTCTAACGTAAATTCACTTTTTACGTCAGTCAGTGTCGTGTCGGTTTTGTCACGAAACTTCGACAGGTCATAACTTCTTCGTTATAACTCGGATTTCAGCGTTCTTTATATGTACGGAATCCTTGTAACATATACTACAACTTAGTTAAGATTATTCATCCTAAATAATCTTCTATCAAAAAATCATTTTGATGCTTATCGTCTCTAAATTGACTAGCCCCGATCTACGGATGTTACAAGGGGCCACCAATGTACCGGGATTTACGGTTGAGTTACTGGTGGCCATTAATGAAGGGGGAGATTGCATGGTATGTTGAGAGATGCTTGACATGTCGGATGGTCAAGGCTGAGCATCAGAGGCAGCATGGTCACCTACAGCCCTTGGAGATTCCCATGTGGAAGTGGGGAACAGATCACGATGGATTTCATCACTAAGCTACCGAGGACAGCAAGGGGGTCTGACGCTATTTAGGACATCATGGATCGATTGACCAAGATAGCCCACTTTTTCGCGACGTGGGAGAGTTCATCGGCTGAGAAGCTGGCTGACTTGTATATCTGCGAGATCGTTGCCCGCCATGGGGTACCGGTCTCTATTGTGTCAGACCGCGATGTTCGGTTCACCTCCCGTTTCTGGCAGAAGTTCCATGAGGAATTGGGCACACGTCTACACTTTAACACAACCTATCATCCACAAACAGACGACTAGAGTGAGCGAACCATACAAAATCTCGAGGATATGCTGAGAGATTGCATTATTGACTTTGGTGGGAGCTGGGATTCCTACCTACCCCTCGTAGATTTCTCCTACAATAATAGCTCTCATTTAAGTATTGGTCCTCCACCATATGATCTGTTGTATGGACGGAGATATCGTACCCCAGTCTTTTGGGGGGAGATCGGTCATAGGGTGATGAGACAGACAAATGTAGTTTTGCAAACTACCGAGAGGATTCAACAGATCAGACATCGGCTGCAGACCGCACAGAGTCGGCAGTAGAGCTACATCGACCGGCATCAATCTGAGTTAGAGTTTCAGTTCAGTGACATGGTACTTCTGAAGGTCTCACCTTGGAAGGGTGTGATCTGCTTCAGGAAGAGGGGGAAATTGGGTCCCCGATACATCAAGTCGTTCAAGATCATTGCCACGGTTGGCAAGGTGGCATATAAATTAGAGCTACCAGAGGAGCTTAGTCAGATCCACAACACTTTCCATGTGTCACAGTTGTGAAAGTGTGTATTGGATGAGGCGGTGGTAGTGTCCTTGGATGACATACAGGTTGACGAGCGCTTGAATTACATGGAGAGGCCGATAGCCATTCTGGAGAGGAAAGTGAAGGTTCTACGAAACAAGAAGGTGCCTTTAGTAAAGGTACAATGGTAGCACCAGAGTGGATCTAAGTGGACTTGGGAGCCGGAGGCTGAGATGCGGGAGCATGATCCGGAGTTGTTCGCTGCAGCGGACTTAAGGACAAAGTTTAGTTCAAGTGGGGGAGAATTGTAACACCCCGACTCTCAGATATAAACTTTTCAGTCTTTTATTTATATTTAAAGGTCTACTCGACGAGTTGGATACCCTGACTCGTTGAGTAGGAAAAAAATTTGGCCACGGGTTTCAAATGACCAACTCGACGAGTTGGATCTGGCGGATGAAACCCTAATTTCTAGGGGTTTACACCTTATTTAAAGGGTCATTAGCCCCCTTAGCCTCCCCTACTGCCCCCTTTTGAGTCCAAAAACCATAAATCGTCGTTTACTCTTCATTTTGAGTGATTTTAAGCTTGGAAAAGTGGATTGTAGTGAGAAGAACTTGAAGTCCAAGAGCTTGGAGCAAGGAGAAAGTTGTGGATCTGGATTCTACTCCATCTTAGCATCGTTTTGGAGGTAACAAGTTGTTACCTTAGATTTTCTTTAGTTAGATCTTCTTTTTCTTGAGTTTAAGGTCACCATTAGCATGCTTGGGGATCATCTCGGGTATTGGGGCAAGATTTGAAGTTGAAACTTCAGATCTAGATTCCCCTAATTGGCAAGCTTTGGCCTTCCTTTATCCCTTAAACCCCTTATTTAGCTCAGTTTTGACAAGAAGGGCCTTGCATGCACGTAACGTTTGCAACTTTTCGTGACAAACGTGCTCTTGGTGGTTAGATCTACCGTTTGGAGCACTGAGATAGCTTAGAATCGTCTGGGAATGGAATGGGTTGCTTGAACTCGACGAGTCGGATAATCCAACTCGGCAAGTCGGGGAGGGTTTCCCCGTTCTGAGTTTCTACATGGACTCGACAAGTCGGTTAGGTGACTCGATGAGTCATATGGGGTTTCCCAACATTTTGACACGCTTGAACTTGGGGGGTTGCCTGGAAACTCGACGAGTCGACTAGGGTTTTATGACTCATTGAATTCTGGATGAACTCGACGAGTCATGTCAACATGGACTGTTGACCTTGACTGTGACAGTTGGCTTTGACCAAGGATTGACTAAGTTGACTTTTGAGGGGCATTTTGGTAATTTAGGAATTTATAGAATTGGATCATTGGTAGGTGTTGGTGTTGGTATTGGAGATGCATTTGGAGGAGGTTGATACTATCGTTCCAAGCTACTTGAGAAGTGAGTTGTCCTCACTATACTAACAAGGTCGAAGGTACCAATGCTAGCCCTTTTCAGATTTGTATCCGGGCTTATTGCACGTTTTACTTTAGATCAGTATCTTGGTTATAAGATGGTTGCAATGTAAGTGATCGTTTAGACCGGTATCCTGATTATAGGATGGTTGCCATGATTAATGATCTGTTAGATCTGCATGCCTATTTATTAATATGTATGTTCACATGTTTGTTGGTTTGGGGGATTGGGTTGAGGCAGGTCCTGCTGTGTGTTGTAGGCCAAGACACCCAGGCCCGGTCTGGGCAAATTAGTCAGGACGAAGGCCTGGAGAGTGGTTCGGATAGGCTGAAGGCCCCGAGGAGGGCGGTCCAGACGTGCCAAGGGCTCGAAGAGGGGTCCAGATAGACTGAGGACTGGGAGTTGGTCCAGTCAGACTAATGACTCATTATGCATGTTGTATTTGTTATATGATATGGTTATGTCTGTATGGCATTGGTATTTTGGGGAAACTCACTAAGCTTCGGGCTTACAGTTGTTGATTTTGTTTTAAGTACTTTTGATGATCGCAGGAAGGTGAAGGCGTGATCGTACAGCTCCTCATATCTTATGATTTTATGATTTGATTCTCGAAAACTCTGACATTTTACTATTTTGAAACAAGTTTTGTAGTAATCGTTGGTTTTGAAATGTTTTAAAAGTTTAAATTTGGCATGATTTTTATGGATGTTACATGTTCATATAGAGAACGTCGAAACCTGACTTCATATGAAAAAGTTATGATGTTTTTGAAGTTTCAACGCAGTTGGGTTATCATAGAAACCGAAATTAAAATCGATTGATTGATAGACAAAACAATCTAAATAAGAGTTGAAGGTCTCATGATTAGGAGTCTGTCGATATAAAGACAGTCGAGAACGGATGTCATACGAAAGAGTTATGATTTTTATACGGACTTTAACAGTTTAAGTTTGTTAAAATATAATTTTAAAAATAATGTGAGAACTAGCCGACGAGGCCTAAATGAAAGTTGTAGTATTCGTCGATAGTTACGCGTGGATATAAAAAACGTTGAAAATGATATTATATGAGAAAGATATGGTTTTTATAAAATAACTAAATCTTGTAGCACGCGATGCTTCTAGAAGGTGGGAGGCAAACCACAAGAATTATAATTTTGAAACTCATCAACTTGAATAACATTTGTAAAAGAACCATTCGAGAAGAAAGATTTAGCTCCAAAAGAATTATAATTTTGGTTGGGAAAACTCGATGGATGAGAAATAGACTCTTCTGAATCATACACTCCTGACATACTCCCAAAAGCACCCGTAAAACCCACCGGTTTAGAAGAAAATTGATGGTCGGAATCCACTTGACCACCATTAGTAGTTTTAACCGGACCCTCAACCGAAGATGTAGCAACAACCACATCCGATGCCGAAATAGCAGCAGACCCAGACTACACTTCCGGGAAAACAATAGCAACTTTAATCGGGGTTGCTGTCATCGGAATAGTAGCATCCCTACTGTTTTGAACAGTGACATGAATTTTCTTCTTTGCATGGTCTACCCTCTTCTTAGCATGAAGAAATTTCCCCACGTGCCCTTTCTTCTCACCCAAACATTCTTTGCCATTCCCAATTATTGAAACCCACTTTTTCTTGATTAGCACCATCATCATTCTTCATATTCACCACATAATCACCCGAGGCAGGATGAATGCACTCCTTTATAGTTTGATTGACCATATTCACCGGAGAACCTTTAACTATACTAGCATACGAATTCACATGCATATCTCTTTTCAGCTTTAGACAGGATAAAAGGAGGAAGAGATGATACATGACCATTTTGGAAAAAAAAAAAAACCTAACCAATGAAGCATAGATCTTATGATACCCAAACCAAATATCAGACAACCGTTTCACCATTGCATCATCATCCCTAACACCCGAAAAATGAACAAACCAAATCTTTTATCCATACGAGAAAGCTTTTTAGAGACGAAAACATCTACCACTTTACCTAGCTAATCACACATTCTTCACATATCTTACATTAATTTTATGATATTTTCTTTGTTTGATAGAGATTATCTATTATGTAAATATTTTTTCTTCTAAAAATAAATATTTTTATAATATTTCAATCTTAACAAATTATATTATCTTACATTAATCTTATGATATTTGTTGGGTTATAAGCAATACCACAATCTAAAAGCCATAAAGGTACAAGCACCAAAAAGATACAAAATACAAAATAAAAGCATAAACCCACTTGTTGGATCTATGTTTAGCCTATTTATTGCAATAAAATAAATCAACCATAGAAATGTTGTATCATTTATTTAACAATTTTTTTTTTCTAAAGATATTTTTTTTTGTAACTTTTAATGTTTATTTTAAAAAGAATAGAATACGATGATAATAGATAAATATAGTAAGATAATATTTTGTCACACAAAAGTATTGCATTATGATTATACTAAGAAAAAAAATAGAATGACTAAATAAAGTATTGCATTATGATTATACTAAGAAAAAGAATAGAATGACTAAATCTTTAATACGGTGAAAATATAAAAACTTTTCCATATGTAAAAAAGTTTTCATATTCTTCTAGTAAGTGTTTTAGAGGTAAAATAATCAAAATGCAAAAACTTATTGATTTTTGAACTTAATTAACTAAAAAAATAAAGATTAAATTGTTATTGGTCAAAACACTTTTCAACAAATTTTCCTATTAAATAAATTGAAAATTTTCATATATGTCCATCTTAAACCTCAAAATATCATATTTGTCTAGCTAAATTTTTTAATATTATATTTACCCTTAATAAACCTTCAAAATATCATATTTGCCAAAATCCTTTTTTATAATGTTTTTAATATTTTATAATCATTTTTTATACCTTAGAATTATTATAGTCATTAAAAAATATAACGATATTATCCTTACATCTATAATAATGGAATGTGAACTTTTAAATTGTTGGAATGTCGTCCTCTTGACAAACAAAAATATTCATCTTCAACCCTCTCTATTGAATGTATATTTTGATTATTTAATTTTTGTTGTTGATTATGTTGTAGATGAAGGATGTTTTTGATATTACTATTGCTATTTTGATGTTTAAAAAGTGCATATACGATAGTTTGATATTTAAAAATGGTATATATGATATTTTGATGTTTAAAAAGGATATATATGATATTTTGAAATTTTATGAATGGTAAATATGATATTTAGAAATTTTATGAAGGGTAAATATGATATTTAGAAATTAAGTTGGTTAAATATGATATTTTGATGTTTAAGAAGGATATATACGAAATTCTTTTCAAGTTTTATGTATAAATTATTAACTTAGTTGTTTTCTCGATTTTATCATTTTCTTACAATAATATTTTTTGGAAACGTCTTTCTTAATTATAAGAAACCCAACAATTGTGAAGTGAAATAAAAATGGAAATGAATAAGGCCTCCCGGAGTGGAAGGCTGGAAGACGCGTGGAGGCCGATGTGTCAGCCACCAAGACGCGTGAACACCTCCCCCAACTCCGATGGGTTGGACTTGAAGTCTTCACGGAGACGAGAGAGGACGGGCGATTTGATTGGCTATTTCGAATTTTTAACCGTTGAATGCATTTGATCGTTTGTAAAAAAAAATTAATTAATTAATTAATTACCATACCTTCTCTCTCTCTCTCTCTCTTTCTCTCTCTCTCTCTCTCTCTATATATATATATATATATATATATATATATATATATATATATATATATATCAACTTTTTTCCCATTCCAAACACACACACCACAAGTTTTGAACACAAACATATACACTACCAAAAATTGTTCTTTTCTCCATGGATCCAAACCAAAATACCCCACCAATCCAGAACACCCTAAACACTTCAAATGATCCGTTAACAAATATTGACTACATGCAATTGTTATCATCCCCTGTTCCACAACAACCTCTATTCACTAATCTTTCATACCACCCACACTACTATCAATAACAACAACCACCACAATTCGTTCCACCCCAATTCCAAGCCTTTCAACAACAACCTTCTTCGCAATTTCAGCCCCAAACTTCCCAACGTCAACAAACTCCACAACCACCTCATGTTCCATTATCTCATCTCAACCCATAAATCTCAACATTGACGATAACGATGAACGGGTTCAAGAAACACAACTAAATCGTAGAAGGCAAAAAAAAAAAAAAATTAAAAGATGCAACAAAAAAGAAAAATACTCAATGGACCAAGGAGGAGGAGGAAACTTTAGCTAAAACTTGGATTTTCATTTCACAAGAGGGGGATGTCGGCAACACACAACCGGGTCAAAGCTTTTGAAATCGTGTTCTAGACCACTTCCATGCCTTAGTAGGAAGGAAAACGAGTCGGACATACGACTCAGTCAATGCAAAATGGTGTGACCTTCGAGCGGATTGCACCAAAGTTAACTGTGTATTTGACAATTTTAAAAATATACATCGAAGTGGTAGCAACGATTTCAATATTTTATCAACCGCGATGTACCAATATAAAATTACCAAAAATGGTAAACCATTTGCCAACCAAAAGGCGTGGGAAGTTTGTCGCAATGTTCCAAAATGAGTCTTTTATCCGGAAATGGCTCATTTGGGATCAACCACCGGTTCCAGCAAAAGGCCGAAAACATCCGAGTCGGACGTTGGTGTTAATCTCGAACTCAATGATGAGTTCGATGCCACCGAAGGGGAGGGTCCACCGGACGTCCAACTTCATCGACCACCGAGAAAGGATAAAGCGAGAAAGGGAGCATCTTCTAGCGGAAAATCAACCAACTAGGACGTACTAGCGGAGAAAATCGACAAAACTTTAATGTTTTTGGGAAAAAAATTGAGTCAACGAAGGAACAACGTCGGCGACAATTGACACTCAATGATCTTCAAATTATAAACACGGTGCCGCAACAGAATCTCGATCCAGAAAATTTAAGGGCGTTTATGAAAATCCAACGAGAAGTCCGCGATAAATATCGCAACTAAGTTCTATGGTTTTTAGTAATTTATTTTTATTTTTCTATGTTATATTTAATGTTTTTTAGTATTTTAATTTTATTTTTCTATGTTATATTTAATGTTTTTTTAGTATTTTAATTTTAATTTTTTTTATGTGTTTTTATGTTTTTTAGTAATTTAGGTTTAATTTTCTATGTTTTTAGGTTTAATTTTCTATGTTTTTTTTTGTTGTTTAATTAATGTAATTTGGTTTCAATTAATGTAAAATAGTTTATTATGTTTTAAATTATGTTTTTATTTAAATTAATCATAAAAAAAAAAAGATAATTGTGCAGTGATGACCATTTCCTAGGTTTAGTGGGTTGGTGATGAACATGATGTAGCGTAGAGGTGGCATCATTTTTCCGACGGGCTGGTGATGACCACTTTATTTAGCTTAAGACTATCCCCATTGTTGAGCACCTCACCATGGCTCACCCGAAAAACTAAAAAAAATAAATTAAAAAGAAAAGAAAATGGTGTGAGCGGATTGCCGCCCAACTTAGATCGCTATAGTTCATCATATTTCTCTCTCATTTTTCTTTTTTATATTTCATTTATTTTATAAAAAAATAGATGTGATATTATTTTTAAAAATAAATAAAATATATTAAAATACATAAAATAAAAATATCTACAAAATGAGTATAATGTTGTTATATTTTTTGATAATTTTTTAAAAATAAAATAGAAGATTGAATTGGTTTGCTAATGAGGATAAAAGTTTATGGTTATTTAGGTTGTGCATGTAGAAGATAGATAAAATAGTTTTTTAATAAATATTTGGGTTGGGTTGCGTTGCCAATAAATGAGTTGAGCCTAAATGTTCATCTTTAGCGGGTTATGTACTCCGTTCCACTATTTTACGTTTATCCGTTCCACCATTTTACGTTTGGTTATTTATACATATGTTTGTATATTAATCTCATTCATATTTATTGTCTACTTTTTATTTTTAAAATTTTTATTATTAAACTTTAATCTTAATATTTTTTTTAATATATTAAATTGATGCAAAATATATGAATAAATTGCATTTTAAATTTCTTTTTATTATTATAAGTTTCATCAAGTATTTAAGATCAAAATTAAAAATCAAAGGACAATAAATATAGAACAAATGAAGTATATAGTTTTGTTTGGTTTTTAATCAGTTCATAAAGTAGTTTATGTGTTTTTAATATTTTGTAAATTAATTTTATTATATAATTTTAATTAGTTTTATTTATTTTAAAATTAAAAATTATATAGATTATGAGATATAAATTTACATGTGTTGTAAAATAAAATGGTGGAATAGAGAGAAGAACGAAAAAATGATTTTGCATTAATATGACAAATGAGTTGTAAAGAGCAATAAACATGGACTTCCTGGACTTAATTCAATCGGCAAGAAACTAAGAATAGTCAACTTTATCTGAACCATTTTACTTTTATTATTATTACATGTGATCTTTTAAAAGAAGTTTTTTTTTTTTTCATCCAAAAAAGATAACGATATAACTTTTTGTATCTGATATGTCAAAGGAAAACTTTATTATATATTTCTTAAAACTATATTAAAATAATGTGCATATTTCAAACTCAAATTAATTATTTATTTCAAAAACATTTTAGTTATATATGTTTATGACATTTAATTGGCTTTTTTAAGGCATTTAATTGAGTATACATGAATATTAAAAACACAAGACGATTATTTGAATTTTGGAAGCATTGATTAAAATATATAAAGATTATGTAGTCCCTAGGAAAGCAAATTTGTTCTTTGACTAAATGGAAACCTAAAAGTG